GACAGCTAACAGCATATTAAAATTCCAATACAGTCAATATAATCAAATCCCAATCCACCCCCCTTAAAACAGTATTAAACTAGTACAGATTAAAATCACAGTAATTAAAAGAAAAAAGTGAAACATCGATGCAATAATATCCAGAACTCATCAGTCGGCAACATTGCTTTATATATAACTGAGGGAGAGACTTCTCGAGGACATTCCAAGGGTAAGTATATGGATTTAAAGTTAAAATAATAATAATAAGTATTTTAAAAAGGATTACTTTCCCACCCACCACCCACATGGTAGGGTGATGGTTGTTGTGGTGGTGCCTTCAAGTTGTCCCTGACTTATGGCAATCCACCAGAAACCTCCCTGAAAGCCAAGATGACAAAACTGAGGCTGTCATCCTTTGGACACATCATGAGAAGGTGCAAATCATTGGAAAAGGTAATAATGCTAGGAAAGGTGGAGGGAAACAGAAAAAGAGGAAGGCTGCATGCTAGGTGGATCGCATGGATATCAGTCCATGGTATCTGTGGAACTTTTTTCCAGCTCCCCATTTCAGATTAGTTGATTGCTTTCCTACAAGTTTTCTTCATTGTCCAGCTCTCACAACCACACATAGAAATTGGAAATGCAATGGCATGGACAATACTAACTTTAGTATTCCATTATATCTCTTTGCACTTCAGGTTCTTGTCTAATTCTTGTCTAAGCTGTCATTCCAAGTCCACATCTTCTTCTTATTTCTTACTTCAGTCTCTGTTCTGAGCCAAGGTATGCAAAATCCTCTGCTTTAACGTTATGTAAATTTTCTGTGTTTATTATTTTTGCTTTCTTCATGTTCAGGTGCAAACCTGCTTTGCACTGTCTTCCTTTACTTTCTTCAGTATTTTTTCCAGGTCTTTGCTCTTTTCTTACTAGTAGTATGGTGTCATCTGCATATCTTAAATTGTTAATACTCCTTCTTCCAGTTTTCACACCTCCTTCCTCTGAGTCTAATCCTGTTTTAAATTAGATATGTTCAGCATACAGGTTAAACAGGTAAGGTGATAAAATGCAGCCTTGCCTGACCCCCTTACCAACTGGAAACCAGTCTGTTTCTCAATATCCTGACAATAGCCTCTTGTCCTGAATACAGATTATGCATCAGGACAATCAAATGTTTTGGCACACCCATTTCTTTGAGAGTGATCCATTGTCTTTCATTATCTACACAACCAAAGTCTGTGATAATCTATAGCGCACATGATTATAATTTTTTTTAATTCTTTGCTGCGCTCCATTATCCAACGTATGTTTGCAATGTGATCCCAGTACCTTTTCCTTTCCTGAACCCAGCTTGAATATCTGGCATTTCTCGTTCCATATGCTATATGGCAAAAGTCTTTGTTGCAGAATTTTTAGCATCACTTTGCTTGCATGAGAGATTAATGCAATGATTCTATAGTTACTGCAATCCCTGGTGTCCCTTTATTTGGGGACTGGAATTAATATTGAACATTTCCATTCTGTGGGCCATTGTTTTGTTTTCCATATTTGTTTACACATTTTAGAAACAGAGTAGATTCTTTGTAACTTGAAGCAGCTCTATTGGTACGCTTTCTGTTCCTGGTCATTTATTTCTCTGAAGCGCTCTGAACACAGCTTCCACTCAACTTTCTAAAATTGTAGGTTCATCTTCAAATTGTTCTTCCTTAAATGAATTTGTCATCCTTTTATATAGTTTCTGTGTATTGTTTTCATTGTCTTTTTAGTTGTACTTGGTCATGAAATGTG